CACACACACACACACACACACACACACACACACACACACACACACACGTATGCCGGAGAAGGCAGAGCCTGGGTGGGGTGGGACCCAGGGCTCCGTTCACTAAATCTCACATCAAGAAGGCCTAGTACCGCACACCGGCTCTCTGCGTCTCATGCTGGTTTTTTTCCACTCTATTAGGACAACCATGAGCGGGAGGAGCAGGAGCGGAAACAGCTACAGAGGCTGAAGGAGCTGGAACAGAAGCGGCATTCCTGGACGACTGGGGAGCTCGGGGGCTTTGGCAGGAGCAGCAGTGAGAATGATGTACAGATGCTAGCTAAGAAGGGCGCGGAAGACACGCCCTCCTTCCTGAAGCCCAGGCCCAGCAGCCCCTCCTGCCGGCCCCCCAACACCCGTCGCTCCCGCCTCTCCCTGGGCATGTCTGCTGACCGAGAGCTCTTGACCTTCTTGGAGAGTACCACCGGCACTCCAGAGGACCCCAACAAATTCAACAGCTTGCCCCGGAGCAGTCCCAGGCTCGCTCGGCCTACCATCGCCTGGATGGAGACTAGAGAACAGCAGAATCATGACTCTAACTTTACACACGAACCTCAGGTCTCAAAGAACCAGGAGAAGGCCCCTCACCCTGCTTGGCAGAGTCCGACAGCTCTGCTAGAGGAGCCTGCCTGTCCTTTTGCACTGGCTGGGCGGAACAGGGCAGGCACCCTTCGAAAGAGAAACAGTGAACCTGTGGGCTTGGTTCCTGCACAGAGCCCTCCACTCTTACCACTGGATCTGGGCATTAGAGAGCATGAGCTGGTCACAGGGCTGACCCAGTTCGACCTCCAGAGTCCCAAGAGCCCGGAGGAGGCATCCCAGCTGACTCTGCATGACTTCTGTCCTACGAAGCTGCAGGCTCCGGGGGATGCTGGCGATGATGATGGCCTCACACCGGAGGACACGGGTCCCCAGGAGGCTCTCAGCCCCGCTGCAGAGAGTGAGCCGGGCAGAGAGGCCCGCGCGTCTGTGGATGACACCGACACCGAAGATAAGGATCCGGGGCCTCTGTTGTGTGGCTCAGACACCACAGACTGCTCGCTGACTCTGGACTGCTCCGAGGGCACTGACTCCAGACGTGGAGAGGAGCAGGAGGAGGAGAGGGAAGAGGATGTGTCTGTGTCCTCTCATGCTGGAGAGGCAGGCAGCGGCCAGGTCTCCTCCAACCCCGCTTCCAGCCCCTCGGGGGAGGTGCCTGCTCCCGAATCCACTGGAAGTGATCCCACCTGCCAGGGCAGCCTTCCGAAGGACAGACCCAGCAGAGGGAAAGACGCTGTGGCACCAAAGAGAAATTCTCTCAAAGAGACAGCACAGGGAGCCTCAAAGCCTGTCGGTGCCCGGCGCAGCCAGGGGGCATCCAAGCCTGTGCGAACCTTGAACTCCTCCGAGAACGAGCACATGCGCAAGGTAGTGCCCATCTCCAAGTCCAGCAGGGGAGCAGGGACCTGGAAGCGCCTGGAGCCGGTGCCCAAGGCTTCCCCTCGGGAGACCCCCAGCAGCTCAGACACACTGCTCTCTCGAAGGAGCTCGGTGCGGGGGACCTCTGACACTTCGCCCAGAAGGGCCCACACGAGCGGGTCTGGGGCGGAGGAGCCCAGGCTGCCCCGCTCCAGCGGCAGCATCAGTGGACGGCCTGGAAAGGACCCCCTGCCGCAGCCCAGGGCCTCATTCAGGAAGCCTAGTGCCAAGCCCCTCAGAAACATCCCCAGACAGAAACCCGAAGAACACAAGGTCAGCAGCCCCAACTCGGGAGATCATGAGAGCCTCAAGGAAGAGTCCAAGGCTCCTGAGGCCCCGAGTGTCTCTCGAGCCCTCCCCCCAGTCCCAAGCTTTGCTCGGAACACTGTGGCCTCCTCCTCCCGGTCCATGCGTCCTGAGGCTCCGCCTGCGGCCAGAGGTGCTGGCATCACCAGGACAGCCTCACAGAGGCAGCTTAGGGTCAAAGGCAGCCCCGAGGATTCTGCCTCCAAGGGCAGTGGCACTTTGAAGAGGGCCAGCAGCGCCCGAGCCTCCAAGAAGGGCCCGGAGTCTGCTGCTGCGGGTGTAAGTGCCCATGCGGAAACCCCAGTGAAGGCCAGAGGGACTACAGAAAGGTCCTCCCTCAGGCTGAAGGACTCCGGTCGGGCCACCCTGGGGCGGCTCCTCCATCCCCTGCAGAAGTGATGAGGGCGGCCTGTCTGAATCTCTGCCTCTTCTGGGTTTTAGCGGCCAGGACTGGCCCCTGGAGGGAGGACACAGAGGCCAGTCGTTAGTGTCTTGTTACACATCAAGCCAGTGCCTCCTGCTAAAGGTCACGTCACTAAAGGTGCACGGAGATTACAGCCTGCCGTGCAGACTTCCGCTTCGAAAGCAAAGCTGATTCGAAAGAATCAAAGCTGGTTCTTATTTTGCTGGACTTCGCCAGGCCCCAGCACCTCCTGCCGTTCGTACTCAGGACCCTAACCCCAGCTCCTGCCCCAAGACAAAGTTCCAGTGATAGTCTGGACATGTAAGATGACAGTTCTTATGTAACAAGTAAAAAGAACATTTCTGGCCAGTTTTTATATATCAAAGACTTATTTTTTAATATTATAAAAATAAAATGTTTTAGTTGGTTCCTTTTTCAGAGTGAAATGCCTCCCCAGGGATGGCGAGATGTCCTTAATATGTTTGTAGCTTCTTGCCCCCACCCCCAGCCTCTGGGCTCTAAACACACACGCACACACACACATGCACGCACACACCATCCCAGACAGCAGAGGCCTCTCCCAAGCTCCTGGGTATCTTTAGGGCTGGGCCTGTCTCCTCGGGGACTTTCTGGCTAGCTTGGGTTCTTCTCAAATGACCGGGTGAGGATTTTATGTAAATAGGAGAGCTGTCAAGAGTTTTATGGTAGAAATCTGATGCTGCTATGAGTTCAGGGGCTCCAGGGTCCTGAGACCTGTTTGGGAGCCCATGACTGTGGAGGAGTTTGGCCCGCAGATAGGGCCAGCTGTGTAGGGGACTGGATTTCCCACAGTCCCGAGTATTACGGGAAGGCAGCAAGGGCTGGCTTTCTTCTCGCCTGGAGCCTCCGTGCCCCACCCCTACCCCTGTTATTTATTTTGCTTTCTGAGACTAGGTCTTCTTGTGTGGGCCAGGATGGCCTCTTACTTGCAATCCTCCTGCCTCAGCCTCCTGAGTTCTGGGAAAGTAGGTTCAAGGCACCACGCCCAACTTGACTGAGAACTTTTTAGTTATCACTCAAGCTTTTCTTCCTTGGGACATTGCTGTTTAAGTCCTGAGAGAACCCAAATCAAGGTTATTTTGTTCATTTTAAACAGACTCCCACCCCTAAGAGAAACTGATTTCAGAAATTTTAACATCAGGAAATCCTGTTCAGGAGATGGATGTCATGCAAACGGAGCTCAGTTAGTACCCAAAGCTCATTTCACCACTTCTTTATTAAAGCCAAGAAACAGAAAAACGGGCCTGAAACAAAAGCCCCGCCCCTTCTCTTTGAGTGGTTTCTTAGTGAAATCTTGAGATCAGACACGGGCAGGTAGGTGGGCTCGGGAAATGTGTCGTGCTGTGCAGAGACTGCCTGTGTTGCTGCAGTCGGCTCCTTTTTCGTGGTCGCCATTACAGGCTCCTTTTGCGGAGTCGCCATTACAGGCTCCTTTTG